AAAAAAGGGGGTCAAAAGAAAAAAAAAACGACGAAAGGCACGCTGACATGGTAAGATGATCTTTGTCAGTAGTACTGGATCGGATGGTACAACACAAGCTCAAAATTTTCCTTGAGTGCAACCCTTCTCAAGGTGAGCCCATATACATTAAGATTTTCCTTTTTGAATTTCTTTTGGAGAGTTAAATGAAATTGCAAAGAAGTCCCCTCTAGATAATTCCTAAGTTTTTTCTAAATTACAAAGAGACCACTCCTTAATCATTAAGCATGCAAGTCCCTCACAACTCTATAAATAGAACCCAAGCCTTCATCTACTTCTCATTTTTCTCTACACATTCTAAAGATCAAAATCTCTTTCTCTTCTTCCCCATTTTCAAAATTATAGTGTAGTAAAGCCCCAAAATTTCTCTTTCAAGAGTAAAATTCTTGGCCAAAGGAGTAAGTCTTCCTCATCTTCTTTATTTTCTTCATTTTCGAAAATTTCAAGAAGCTAAGCTTCATCTTCCTCTCTCTCTAAAATTTCTTCTTCTTCTCCTTGTAGAAAGGAAAGAACACCCTTCGAATTTTTCTAAGAAGATAAAGGTGATAATTTTCGAATTCTTGCTACAAGTGCTTCAACACCAATAGTATTTTTCTTCTCTTTAATTTCTTGTTAATGTTCTTGTGGTGACCGAAAACTAAAGGAGAAAGAAAATAAAACTTTGTGTTTAATTTTGCTTTGATCATCCATGCATGTAAGAATCTAAACTTTAAATGATATAATCTTGAAGAACTAAGAATAATATTGTAATTTTATTTATGTATATACACTAGACCTGCGTGATCTTAAGGAAACTTCGATCCATGGTTTTCGTAAACCTGCGTGGTCGAAGAAAGTACTTGATCCATGGTTTATTTATAATCTATATGTGCTATATATATATATATATATATATATATATATATATATATATATATATATATATACAGTGGCGGACCTAGCTATGGTCTAGGGTGTGCAGTTGCACACCCTTGATTTTAAACAAATAATACCGTTATACATAAGTTAACAAGAAAAGCTGTTGGTTGAGTTGGTAAAGATGTTCCTTCATTTGTTATTTGGTCCCGGGTTCGAACCCCCAGCCTCTAAAATGTTGATGTTTTTTCAAATCTTTACATTTTTCAGCCTTTTTCTTTTTAAATATTTACACAATTCACCTAAAATTTTTAAATTGTAAATTTTTGGTCCACCATTTTTATAAAGTGATATTTAATTTTTTTATTCTAGAATTTAGCACCCCCTTGGCAAAAATCCTGGATCCGCCACTGTATATATATATATATATATCGACCTACGTGGTTGTAAGTGTACTCCCTTCGGATCGAGGAAGCTTACGATCCATGGTTTATGATCTATGAGTAATAAGATAATATACGAAGATAAAAACCGAGAACAAGATTAATAAAAATGGAATTTTGTGTGATTTGAATTGTTGATGGTTCGAATATTTTGGAAAGAAAATGAAGTAAATGGAAATCTGGTGCTACTTGAAAGAAAACTTCAAGTCTCTTGAGAAAGAGGGCTTGGACTTTAATTAATGAAACTTGGAGATAGTAATTATAAGAGTAAACTGCAAATACTACCCCTGTGTTATCTCGAAATAGCGGAAACCCCCCTGTGATAAATAAACTAGCAAAAACCCCCCTGTGAAATTTAGTCAAAGGCAGAATCCCCCTAGCTGATTTTTTAGACTTGAAATGACAAAATTGTCCCTCAAAATGTATTTATATATATATATATACATATTATATGTATATTTATTCTTTTAATTTGTTTGTTTAAAAATTAAAAAAAATAGTAAACAACTAAATTGATTATTTTTTAAATAAAATAATTAAAATAATTATAAAATATAAGAATTTATTAATTGCAAGACTCCAAGGGTATTTGTGTCTTTTTATATCAAGTCAACCCTCAAATAATTCCATAGGGGGGTTTTTGCTATTTAAATAATTTCACAGGGGAGGTTTTTGCTAGTTTATTTATCATAGGGGGGTTTTTGTTATTTCGAGATTACACAGGGGTAGTTTTTGCAGTTTACTCTAATTATAAATAACCGAATGCTTTGAGTTGTTTTGCTATATGTGTAAATATGTGATCTATGTTCTTTGCTTGACTTGTTATGTGTCGTACTTGCTTTTGTGATTTTGTGACTAAACTATGTGCCTTTGTGAAATATGTGGAAATATGTGTGATTATGTGAAAGCTAACTTTGAATAGTGAAAGCTAACTTTGAATATGTGAAATGAAGAATATATACTAACTTCACTTGCATGTTTTTAAAGTTGGAAAATCTTGTAAAACATAGATTGAATAAGCACGGGGTATGAGGGACCGGTACCCCAAAAATGAGATGAAGAGTGTGTGGTTTGATTCCACTTATGAAACGGGTTCCAAATAAATGAAGGCTTATTGTCTATGGTTTTGCTTGATTTTCCAAATGATATCCGAATAAAAATGTTTTTCTCACACGCCTAATCAAAGTTGCTTGAAATGAATGAAAGTATGTGCTAACATCACTTGCACGTGTTTAAAGTTGGGAAATCTTGTAAAACATAGATCGAATAAGCACGGGGTATGAGGGACCGGTACCCCAAAATGAGATGAAGAGTGTGTGGTTTGATTCCACTTATGAAACGGGTTTCAAATAAATGAAGGCTTATTGTCTATGGTTTTACTTGATTTTCCAAAGGATATCCGAACAAAAATGTTTTTCTCACACATTGTATGAGCACTTGAATGAATGTGTGTGTAAAAAAATGACGACTCCCTTGTAAGGGATTTACTCTTATTCCTTATGAAATGATGAAAGGAAGGTCTAAGAGGTAAAATGAGAATGGTCTAAGAGGTAATCCGAGAAGGTAAAGGTAATTTGGTAAAGTTCCTCAATGAAATGACGATTGAGGTAAAATCGAAATGTTTATATTGTGTATATGTGTGATTTGAGATGGCATATATACATATATACATATCATAAATATATGCTTGTTTGCCTATGTGTATTCGATATTTCTTCGAAATTCTCATTGAGTCCAAAAGACTCATATAGGTGTTGAAATGCTTGTAGGTACTTTCAATCCCGAGCACGAGTCGTAAAGTTGGAGTCGAGTTCGAGAATCGAGGGATGTGTTCATATGGAAGGCGTGTGGAGCTTGTGTGCTCTTAATTTAGCCATATTGTTCTACTTGTATAGTTTAATTTTAAAGACTTTCGATACCGTCTTAGATATCTATTATCGTACTCTTCCACCCCTCGGGGGATCTTATTAGTAAGAACATTGCATCTAATAATAATTAGGATTTTGATTTCCTCTTTTTGCCAAACTTCTATATAATCCTTATCGGTTAGTTGTATGTTGTGTTCTGCCCTGTTATTTGATAATCCGTATTAAATATACCTTCTATTTAGAATTGCATGAAAATTTACATAACTGTACACATGCAGAGTCATTTTAGGACATGCATCAATATGTGAAGTTTTTCTTACTCAAATCGATCTATTTAAATTGGAGTATGTTCCTAACTCAATTTTCTGTTTTGGTATAAAATTTGGTAGTGTTTAGAATAGTAGGGAATTAATAAATAATTTTCAAAGCTCCCTCCCCTGTTCTGGATTTTCAAACTGTACAGTTGCATTTATTTAATTATTTCTCTCAAATGGCTAATGATATTTGAAAACAGTTTTAAATACATAATTTAGACACATATGAGAGTATGTGGTTAAACTTTCAAGATCTTTTCATGAAAGGTTTAAGAGAAATTAATTTTCTAAGTTGATCTACCTAATCTGTCTGAAATTCCTAATATTTACTCTTGATAATTTAATTAATCTAGTCATGCATGTTCCTTTTGTGATATTTGGTTAATTGTATATGATATGGTATTATGTGGACACTCTTCCTCTGATTTTAAAAGAAAAATTTATGCGTAACCTTGTATTTGTAGAAGGTGATTTTTAAAACGAGCACTCCACACTCATTAATATCTATAAGTCTTCCGGTAGCATATTCTAAATTACTAAGTAAGCGTAATTAGAAAAGGGGTGTCACATATATCGTATAATAATGAATGAATATATATTTTAAAAATTAATGAATTAAAATAAATTTGAATACTTAAGATTACTGTTAGTTATGTATTGATTTCTTAAAAATTATCGATATGAATATATTCGATTAATTGGTCCAAGAACAATTTGATGTTATTTATTAAATATGTAACCATTTTACGATATTATTTTTAAATTTTAAAATATTGCATTTTTTCAAAGGATATTTTTAGCTGTATACTGATGTAATCTAATTATTTTTTACTTATTATTTTCAATAAAAGAGAATATTTGAAGATATTAGAATTTAAAAAAAATAAATTATGCTTGAAAGGATAAATGTTACGAATGTTATTTTAAGGGATAAATGTTATATAAAGTATATTTTAGGGGTGTAAAGTGTATTTAACCCAAATAAAAATGTGGTTTTTGTAGGGGCAAAAATATTAGGTTTTAACCGCTTGGAAGACCATTCTGAAATTACAGAAATATATGGTTGCCCTCTTTAAGGGCAAATTCGTCCGTGTCTGTAATTCTTCAATTTCCCCCAAATCCACATTCCCCACCAGACTACTCCTCCAAACGCCGCCACCGCCACCGCCGCCAGCACCAAAAGCTCCCATCTCCGGCAACACCGAAAAGAATGAGGAAAATATCGGGCCAGTTGATTTCGACGAAGCCCGTGACACTCTCTCGGGCGGCAAAGCTCATCTCCCGGTTCGCCGCCGTCGAAAACGGCTCCTCCGCCACCGTGTCCTTGTACTTGAAGCGCACGGCCGACGCCTTTAATAACTCGGTGCAGACGAAGGAGGAGGAGAAGAAGAAGAAGAAGAGGAAGACTGATGATTTTGATTTGAAGGAGGAGCAGCAGTAATCGATGATTGGTCAAATACTTGTTGCTTTAGAAGAAAAAGATCGGTTTTTTAGTTTATGCTCTGGTTTATTGGTTGTTTTTGGGTGATGATACTTTACCCATATTTATCAATCATTTTTTTCTATTTCTTGATATTTAGCTAAATTACTGAATTAAGGAAAAACTCATTGTGTTTAGATAATTATAACCAATCCTCGACCATGAAATTTCTTATACGACCACTTTTATGTGTCAAATTCAACATAATTTTCTAGATTTCATGAAATGTTCTCTAGTTTGTACTCGTTTTGTGCAAAAATGCATTTGATATTTAAAAGACAAGAAACTAATCTTGTTTGAAATGTGGATCTCAAATGGGGTAAAACGGGTACAAACTGGATAATATTTCACATAATATAGAAGATTCGATTAAATTTGACACTGCAATGGTGGACGTGTGCAATGGTGGACGTGTAAGAAGATTCTTAAATGATAGGGTGATTGTAATTACTCTAACATGAGGAGAATTTTCGTAATTTGACCTTAGCTGATGGGGTGTAATTTATCATTGATATTTCTTGGTAGCTTTATTGCTGTTTTGTTGAATAGTAGCTTCAGTTGTTGAATCTCGTGCTAGTTAAGTCCGACTGATCATTCCGCTGGCATCTCGCATTCACTGCCCCCAACCAAGGGAATTCCCGACATGCTACGGTGCCCCGCGGTGGGTAGGAGCGGGTGGAGTCTGTAGCGCTGTGGGGCAACAGCCGCGCACTGGTTCTCATCTATTTACTCGGCAATTCATCCGGTAACTCCACGGTCGCCGTACCGATGCCGGCTGCTTCATTTGGCAGCAAGCACCAAAATTAATGATTTTTTTTCAAGAAAATTGCAAAAAGAATTGGCCCATCTTTTCAATGACTTAATAAAAGAAAATCAAACAAAGACTTTAAAGCATGATTTCAGCAAAATGACAAATCCATATTTGCCGCAACTTGCTCAATTAATCTGTTTCAATTATGACACTGTTAAAAAAAAAAAAAAAAAAAAAAAACAAGAAATTTTTCATAACAAACAACATGACTACATTAAAAAGAAAAAAAGAAAATCTAAGTCATGGGCTTCTCCAAGAGAGCAGAGAAATACCACTCATTCTTATCCAACCCACGGTCCACCTTCATCCCAGTATTCCACCTCAACTTCCTGAACCCGACCCGGTCGAACATCGGCACATAAGTCGAATTCAGCTGCGACCCGAAGCAGAAGAACCGATCCAGCCAAAAAAGCCCACCCGGCCTCAAAACCCGGTAAATATCATACAGCGTGAACTCCAGCATCGTATCCGGTATCCAGTTACTCAGCACGTGCATCGAGTGAACGATATCCAACGTGTTCTCGAAGAACGGGAACCGCTGCGAAACGCTCACGTGCATCGAAATCAAACCCCGGGACGAAATAAAGCTATTGAACGGCCCGTCGAAGTTCATCGAAGTCGTTACTATAGTCACGTTCCTCTCCCTCATTCGGGCCGCGAATGAGCCCGACCCGCCCCCGATGTCCAGCCCGATCCTGATTGTGCCACGTGGCTTCATCTCGAGGACCTGATCTATCCCGTAATCCAGGCCGCCGTTGTCGTACAGCCACCTGGTTTTTTCTCTGCCGTCCAATTCGAAGCAGTCTTTGCAATCGTAGATGCCTGGGGTTTTTCTTCTGTTGGTTAGGCACGTGTAGTTCTTGCACGTGTAAGGGTCCCAGATTATGCTGGTGTCCGGGGGTGTGGCCCACAGGCTTTTCGGGAGTGGGTTGGGCTCCACGTAGTTCGCCGGAGATTTGGGGTGGCACCGCCGCCGCGGGAGGGGCTCGCACCCCATCAGCATGAGCGTCTGGGAGAGCGAGTCGTCGACGGGGCACTCGCCGCCGACTTGGTACGACATGTATTTTTCGAGGTCCTCCTTGTGGTTCAGGCAGCCGCCGCCGACGGAGAAGTAGATCTCGTCGGAGCCCATCCGCGGGTTGTACCCGAGTGGGAGTTTGTGCGGGCCGACGGCGAACTTGGCCTCGTCGGAGACGTCGGCGAGGAGGTTGTCGAAGGTGGACTTCGTCGCCGCCGTCGTCGGCCTGTCTGAGGCGGCGGCGGCTCGTTCGACGGCGGCGTTGAGCTGGGAGAGTTCGTTTATGAGCTCCTCCGTTTGGGAGTGGGAGGATTTGAGCTGTTTCCTCAGCTGGGAGATTTCGGAGCGGCTGGCGGCGAGTTCGTCTATGGTGGCGTTGAGTTTCAGGATGAGGGCGGCGGCGGCGGAGTCGCACGCGCCGCCGCCGGAGATTCTTGAAATGGGGTTCTGGAAATTCGAGTAAGAATTATTACCGGTGAAGATGTAAAAGGTGAGCAGATTCGTGAGTACGATGAGGAGTAGTATCTTGAATTTGTACTTCATTTGGCTCTGTGGGAAAGCTTGCTTTCTTGGTGTGGAGTCTTCACCACCCATCTCTTTCTCTCTCTAGATCTTCCCTCTCTCTCACACACACATACACACAGTGGGAGGTGTATATATATACTTTGTGTTTAGATAATCAAGAAAGACAGAAGAACAAGAATTGAGACAGTGTGTACAAAACATGCAACGTTGGTTCTTCTCTCTTTATACAAACATTTTCTAGATTTATTATTATTATTGGATACAGTCTTAAAATTGGAATTTAATTTAGTGTAAATTACACCTACACCCTGAGGTATGCTGAAATAACTTTAAAGTCCCTGTAGTATTGGTAATTATAGTTGCACCCCTGAAACAATTATCGGAGTCAAGATTTCATGTCTGGGGGACCAATATGCACTATATTTGTTTCCCCCAAGACGAAAATTTATAAATCTTGTATGAAACAATAATGATTTAAGAAATGTTAAGAGAGTTATGCCACCTCCTAGCTATACGATGTCTCTACCATTGACTGAAACTAATAGTCCGTTAGAACCCTAGTGGAATAATTTATCCAATGTATTATTTTAATGTATTATTTTGTAGGATTTTTAACAATGTTTCGATGGGTAATTATAATTACCGATACTACAATGACCTTAAAATTATTTTAATATACAACAGGGGTGTATGTGTAATTTACCTTTTAATTGAAGGTCACTTGCTCCAATATAGGACAATATAAAGGGTAAATTACAAACACCCCCCTGAGGTATGGTCAAATTACAAAAACACCCCTCTTGTTTGGATAATTACAACCACCCCCTCAACTCCTCAATTAGTGGAATCTTCGAGATTTATGGAATATTATCACTTGTGTACCCGGTTTATCCCATTCAAACTCTACATTATGAAGCAAGATGATCATAATATGTGATTTTTAGCTTGTATATATCAGTTTGTGGTGCATCGAAAACTGTATTTTTACACAAAACGAGTACAAACTAGAGCACATTCCACAGAATCTAGATGATTATGTTGAATTTGGCACAATAAGGGTGGAGGTGTAAGAAAAAATCGTAGTTGAGGGGGGTAGATGTAATTATCCAAACAAGAGGGGGATTTTTGTAATTTGACCATACCTCAGGGGGGTGTTTGTAATTTACCCCAATATAAATGTTAGGCTTGTGACAGTGTGACCGCGTACGACGCCCGCGTTCAAGGACGATTAATTTAATAATGTTTATTAAAAAAATTAAAAAAAAATGTCAATTTAGGAATCTTTTTGAGATTTAAGATCTAAATGTCTTTTAGTATATCTAGTGAGAAGTCATAGTTGACTACTGCGTAGCAAAAGTCAACTCTTTGAATGTAAAGTATGAACACAGCCTTCCGTTTTGATGATGACTTTTGGAGTGAATGCTCATGCATGTGTTGAATTGGGGTCGTTGTGTTATTTAAGAACTCTTGGGGCCCTTGTAAGAAATTTTATTTAGTAGTTGCAGTACACTCCAAAATTTTGCCCTCTTGTTTTTTTGAAAGAGCCAAAAAATGTTGCTTTATGTCGACAATAATTCATGAATTATTAGTATTGGTATTTTTTTTTTAAAAAAAAATTCAAACCAAACCAAAATGATATTTGCTGATTGTGAATCTCAAAATTTCAATGGCTATAGCCTATATGTATATGACTGGAAATTAAATTAAAATATTTGATGCGAGATTTTCGCAATTTGTTTGAGTTAGGTTTGTTAGATGACAAACTAAAATTGAACATATGTGTAACAATCTACATAAGTTGATCTCGATTTAAAATCGTTTGAGCTCGACTCAAACGCAAATTTGTAAGCTCAATAAAAATTCAGTAAACGTGAAGAACTATCTATCTGTACGACCGGCAACTGAGATGGGCCTAATTGTAGCCCGATGACTTGACCCGATTATATTTGAGTCGAGCCTCGGGTCGAGCGTATTTTTTAGTAAGTTGGACTGAGTTTGAGTTTCTATGGTTCTAGCCGATTAAGGCCCGACAGATTAAGTTAATAATAAAATATATAATTTATTTATTATTTTAATGATATGGCTCAACATACAAGTTACACCCGTATACGATTATTTTAGTTTGCAAAACAAAAGTCTAGAATTAAAGGAATTAAATGGTGGCGATGGCAATAGGTAAAATAGGAATAAAATGCAATATATCCATCCAATTATTGAAATTTATCACTATATTTGAAATATAAAACGTTTCCAATAATAAGATATACTAATTTTTTTTTACTTCTTTTCTTTCAGTTTTGTTTCTATTTTTTAAAAAAAAACTTGCAAAGATCGTTATGATTTCTTTCAATTGGCTCCAATAGATATTAAAGTAAGTCTTGTTTCTCACTTGTTTTCCACAAAAAAAATAATAATAATAATAATTAAAAAAATTTGCTTATTATAGTTATGGGGCGTGTTTGGCCGAACTGAAAAATTCAATTAATTTGATAACACAATATTTGGTTGTTAATGTAGAAAAACTGAAGGCTAAAACTATATCATTTATTTTTGTTTTTAGCTGGCAAAATGTTTGGCAGCCATTTAAAATTTGTTAAGACTGATATTTTGGCTCTACTATCATTAATTATTAATAATAAAATAAGACTTTAGTTCATGAACTGCCTAATTATTTAAAACTAATTAATAAATGAAATAGAGAAGGAGATGCTATAAGCAACTTTATTAATGTCTTCCACATGGTTCATTTCTAATTCGACAAAACAATAAATTAAATCCTCACATATTTTTAAGGATATATTTGGCTAATTACTATGATCTACGGTGAAAATCAGACGGAATGGATCGAAAATGACTTTTTTGGAATATTTAATTTTTTTTGAAAGTAAAAAACTGAGTTTCAATTTTCATTCCAAAAAAATCAAAATGCAAAAATTCATTCCGATTTTGGAATGCCTCGTAATCAGCGGAATTTCGGAAATTACATTAGTTTATAATCTCTTCTTCCAAATTTGGATATAAGATCAAATTTTCACAGTATTTTTCTATCTTTTTTTATTTTTGCAGGAAAATGTAAGAAAATTCAAAAGAGAGACGAAACACAATAAATAAAACTACATGTAGGAACAACAAATTAAAAGAAAACTCACACAACTCAAAAAACTTAGTAAGAACAAGTGTTTCTTCGATGTAAATTTTCTTTTGTTAAGCGCACAGGTAACCATTTGGCGCATTTACTTGCTACTAGATTCGGAACACATTGTAGTGAAGGCTCTCTTCTTCCTGCTAGTTTGACTATATAGCCTAATAATATCCTTTCTTCTTCTTCTTCAAAAGAAAAAAAAAATAACAAATTGAAAAAAGATTTTCTGATAACGAAAAATGCAAAAGAGACTTTTTTTGTACCAATTAATTTTTTCTAAGGTTATAATTTACTTGAATATTAATATTTTTCATAGAAAATATAATATAAGTTATATTATGGAATTATAAAATATATCATAAAATTATATTATATATTTCAAAAAACAATCGAAATATTCGGAACTGAAATCGGATTTGAAATCGGAATTTTCAGTCATATATATGCAATTCCGATTCTGTTCCAAATAAATTCGAAAAAAATCGAAAAATTGAAACTTCGAAAATCGCAATGAAAATACGGAGCCAAATTCAGATATTTTCGAATCGGAATTGTCGAATTCAAAAATTTCATCCAATTTCCACCCCTACAATCTTTTGTTTTCCATAATATTGTAAATTAATAAATTAATATGCTCGACTTAATTTAAGAAAACCATTTGAATTTCAAATGATTATAGTAAACTATTTTACATAAATTCCCCATGTGTTGTAGAAATATGCACTAATTCCGATTTGGTACAAAGTTTTTGCACGAAATTTCCTATAATTAACAGTATTAACTATTAACGAAAAAGAGATTAATATACCCGCAAGGGTGGCCTAGCGGTTGGAGCAAGAGAGCTTGTGTCAATTGACCCAAGTTCGAATCCCCTTGCCAACGGTCGTTAGGTCGAGCTTGTCACACATGGTTAGCCTAGTGTGGTTTACATCTCTCGTATGGTTTGCAAGCTATTATACGAGAGTGTAGGTTTACCCAGTGCACCTATATATGGTTGGCTGCGGGTTCCTGCATTACCAAAAAAAAAAAAAAAAAAAAAAAAAAAAAAAGAGATTAATATGAACTCATTAATTCGTTTAGCCGGTTTCTCTTAATTAATCCATAGGTTTTTATGCATTTAACCCTAAACTATCATTTAAATTTCATTACGTATCGTATCTCTTTCGACATCGAGATTTTGTGATAATAACTAATTAATAACCAAAATAAATCACTTATTAATTTAGATCTCAAATTAAAGTCTATAACATATTTGACCAAAATGTATGTCCACGCTGCAAGTTGAGAAACCCTAACTTGTGCCAAGAAAACCTAGCTTGTGCCTATAAAATAAGGTTTTCGGTGCATAAAAAAATCAAACTCACATAGATACACATCGAGCTCTCATGCTCAAGTCTCGAGCATCCGCCTCAAATTTCATAACGTATATGAATTCAAGGTGTTTATATTTACTCGATTTAATAAAAAAACTAGTTATAAGCCCTCGAATCGATTTAGGAGAAAAAAATCAGAAAAATTTCCAAAAATTGTAACTCATTTTTAATAAATTTAATTTATTTGTTCATATTTTTTATTGTCTCGTATATTTTAAATTTTGCACACTCAGAGAAATTTGTGGTTTACAATCTCATCCAATTAAAAAGAGTTGAAATTAGTGTGCTTATAAAATAGTAATATCCAAGACAAGCTTAGTCGTTATACGAAAGCATTTTTTTATTTTTTTTGAAGATTTAGATCTTGAGTCTTGACATTAATTAATGTAATAATATTATGTACATTAATTATATTTATTGTAAAATAAAAGTTAATGTTCTGACAATTGAGTTTATTAAAGACTTGTATGAGATGTAGTTGATAACATATAATAACACTAAATAACACTTTAGCCTCCTCTTCTCCTAGATATATCATAATAGTCCCTCTAATATCAAAATAATCTCAAAATGGCCCATTTCTAAGTATTCTTTAATTACTAACCATATTAAATAAATAACACTGTAGTCCTTTATTTATATATCATGTACAAGCTACGCTCTTTTATAAGTAAATAAATATATCATAATAGTTCCTCATGTCCACTAAATACTCGATCAATTAATTAACTACTAATGAAAATCACACTAAAATAAAACATGAGGGTATGTGGCAGTTTACTAAATAAAAATTTAAACACAAAAAACTAAG